CGGCGGACGAGGTGCGCGCGCGGCTGCAGCGGATGCGGCGGGCGCTGGGCAACCGCAGGAAGATCCTGGTGCGCAACCTGCCGCGCGGCTGCGGGTGCCAGGTGCGGGCGGCGCGGGGAGACGGCGGGAGCCCTCCGGGCCGGGGTGACCCCGCGGGTCCGAGGACCGGGCTGTCCCTTACGGGGTCTGGGATCGGGGTGTCTCCGCAGGTCCGAGACCGGGGTGCCCCCTTCAGGGTACAGGACTTGGTGTCCCCTGAGGTCCGGAGACCTGGCGTCCGCTTGGGGCCCGGGACGGGACGCCCCGAGGGTGCGGGACCCGGTGTCGCAGCGGGAGACAGCGAGGGAGCCCGCGTGGCGCTTCGGGGGGGGTGACAGACAGACGCCTTTGTGGCCTCAGAGCCTCCGCTTCGGGTCGGGCGGTCGATCTATTTCGGTGCGAAGCCGCCGCCTGGCGTGGAGCTCGAGTGGAGCGGCCACGCAGACGCCTGAGGTCACCCTGCGCGGCGACCTCCTCCTGCCTCCCACGCCACGTCTCCGCGTTCTGTTTTAGCAAAGCCCTAAGAGTTCCTTGTGTTTTTCTGGGTTTCTCCGTGGTATCCCGGCGGCTCACAGACGCCCCACACAGGTGACCTGACGCTGCGCTCCGTGCGGTCCGCGTCCCTGCACTTGCAGGTTTGGGCAGAGGCGCCCAGCGACCACCCTCCACCACCCCCACCCCGTCGGGACACCACCCTCCGGGGCCAGGACGCCTGCCCGGCGTTTGTTCCGTGTGACCCACAAAACAAAGTGACCGGCACCCCAAATCTGTGCCTTGAGACCAGGAGGCTGCACTGAGCTGACCAGCTGAGTGAGCGTGTCTGAGGCGGGCCGGCTTTGTGTGAAAGCCGGATCACTACTGCGCGCATTCACCCGGCCCAGCTGTTTCCCTCGCGGTCCGCTTCCTGTCTGTGGGCCTGCTTCCCTGCACCTGTCCCGACCCCTGCGAGCGAGCGACCACCCAGCCGGTGCAGGAGAAGCCGGGGGACAGCTGGCTGCAGAGCGTCCGGAAGTCAGCATGGCCTCGCCGCCCGGGGATGTGCTTCCACAGCCTTAGAAATGTTCAGGTGCAAAATTCGAGGCAGAGCGATTTCTCTTTGCTGTGGACATCTGTCATTTCCTTGTCCAAATAGCTGAAAAGTACCTCTAGGGGTTTAATTAGACTCGCTGTCAGACATGCGGACGAGCTTTCTGGGATTACCACTGAGATATATCATTTTGAGATATTCTTCTCTGTCCCCCTAAACCTTAAGGTTTCCTGCAAGCAGCAGGCATAAACTAGCAAACAAAACGGGCGCATGCATCATCTATAGGTGTATAGATCAGTTATCACTGCTGAGTGAAAGATCTTAAATCCTCACCCTAAGTTAAAGATTTTTTTCCATTGTCAGAAAGCTAGAGTTTCATCTAAAAGTAAAAAAAAAAAAAAAGCTGGACTGCTTTACAGCCTAGTTTAGGGTTTATCTTTTCAGATTACAGTCATATAACTATTAACAGTCAGCGCTTTGTAAGTAAAGAAAATAAACCAAAGTATGGTAATTTCTAAAATCAATTAAAAGACAGTCTTACTTAGAGATTATTTGGGTTAGGATTTGCTATTTTTACTGGTCCATTGTATTTACACTTACTTCCTCTACTTTTTTAAGTTGCAGTGTTTTCATGAATATGTTCCGTGTGAATTTTTAGGATTTTGTCTTTTCTCAGTTTCCCTGGGCAGATCTAATGCCTGTTTTCTTCTTAGTAGCTGTGTTTTGCTGTTAGCTCACTAATGAAGATGAACATTTTATTTTGTCTTTCAGCCAGTAAGGCCTGCATTAAATTACCTGAGTGGAAACTGCATACTTACCCCCGTAAAATGACTAATGTGGCTTTTATTCAATTATGAAGTAATCAGATATTTGAAATACTTGTTCTTTTCCAGAAGGGAGTCTGTATTTATTCCTTTATTTAAGAATATCACATGACCAAAGACATTCTTTGCTCTAGTTGTCAAGCTGGGTAATATGTCTCTAGAAAAGTCATTACCTGATGCTAAACAGTAGGAACACAGTAATTGTTCTTCACCTTTTGAAAACGTAAGTATTTTCTTTTAAACATAGTTTCATAAATCAATTTTTGTTTAACTTTCCTTATAACATTTATAATAACATTCCACAGCACTAGTTTCTGTGGTTAAAAAGCACACTGAAAGTATTATTTTGAAGTGGAGCTCTTAGAGGTACATATATGAAATACCTTATTAAAAACACAAGCACTAAAAATATGAACATGTGTTAATAAATTGTTGAAAGTATTTGCCATGCACTCACACAAGCCCTCCTGCTAAGCTTCCTGAAGTTTCTGGACTCTTCCTCAACTTCCTGAATTTTCTGGAACCTTCCTGAACTTTGTAGAATCTTCCTGAACTTTCCAGATTCTTCCTGAACTTTCTGGAATCTTCCTCAACTTTTTGAATGTTCTGGAATCTTTTGAACTTTCTGGTCTCTTTGTTAACTTTTGGACTCTTCCTGAACTTTCTGGATTCTTCTTGAATTTTCTGGACTCTTCCTCAAATTCCTGAGCTTCCTGGAATCTTCCTCAACTTCTTGAAAGTTCTGGACTCCTTTGAACTTTCTGGTCTCTGTTAACTTTCTGGACTCTTCCTGAACTTTCTGGAACCTTCCTGAGCTTTCTGTTATCTTCTTGGGTCTCTGTCATCACTTCTTAGGTCTGATTATGGTCTTTAAATCTCTTCCACAGACTCAGCTTTTTAGGTTGTCACCTGCTGTTGCAGTCCTGTCTCATATTTTAGCCTATCCTTCACACCACTTTCCCAAGATAACCCTCGCACAGCACTGATCTGATCATGTCACTCTATTTTAAACAAACCTCCACTGACATCATATTCCCAGCTGTACTTCTGAAACTTTTCTTCCAGTTGTTCTTAATATACTTAAACTGTGGATCTGAGTTACACTGCTATGTGACGTTGTGTTAGGCACGGGGGCACAGCTTGTGCAGCAGCTGCTTGGGGAGCTGAGACGGGGTTTGTGTGTTGGAGGCCAGACTGGGCAATGTAGGGAGACTTCATCTCACAATAAAAATTCAGAAGGGCGTTAGAGACGTAGCTTAGTGGTTGAGCCTCTCTGGGTTCCATCTCCAGTACCAAAAACGACTGAAGTTGCTTTGAAATTTTGTGTGCTATCTGAAAAATATATCTTGGGCTGGCCAGATAGCTCAGTGGATTAAAGCACCTGCTTAGGCAGATGCAGGGACTGGGGTTCAATCCCCAGTGTGCCATGCCAGCCCCGCCCCTGGGGTGCACTGAGACTCTGAGAGATTGGGTGTGGTGGTACGCACCTATAATCCCAGCACTTGGGAGGCTGAAAACAGGAGGATCACAAGTACAATCTGTGTAGTGAGGCCCTGTAGACCCTGTACTAAATGCATAAAAAAAGAATATATATGTGTATTGTGTGTATGTATGTATGTATATCTTAATTTTGTGTGCCACTAGTTCTATTGAACTTAATTGAAAAATAGTGATTTAATTTAGTGAACTCTCATTCATTTTTTTCTTTTCAGAAACTTGACGCTTAGGAATATGTACCATGTTTATCCTATGACTTTCTGAATTCCTGGTTTAGCAGGTCATCCCCATTAGGCTGAGACCCCAAGACCCAGAGTTCCTGTGGCCTGGATCCCCAGATTATTTCCCAGCATCCCCAGTTCCAAGTTCTTCCTGCTGCTGTGATTTGAATATTTGAAAATCCAGTTAATCTGTGGGTCATGATTCCCAGCAAATTGCATCTTTATAGTTACCAGCATTATTATGTACAGGAGCTGACTTGTGGTGCATGTGGGGAACCAGGCTCTGGGGGAAAGTAGCTACCGCAGTGCTCGTCTATGTGCGGGGTTTCGACTGTCCTGACTCCTGTCTGTCCCCACCGCTCTGGAATCTGCTCTATGCTGCACCTTGCTTCTGCTCCAGAAGCCCTGTGACTGGATTCCAAAGGGGCGCTAACTGGGGCTTGCACGTCTGCGTCGTGTTCACCATTTTACACTTTCTGTGCTAGGACGCATGCACGGTGCCCCAGGAGCCTGCTCCTCAGGGGAGCCGGGGCCGCACAGATGGCACCTTCATCCTAGCCGCCTCCCCTGGCCCACTGCGCTTGGGTACGTGGGGTGAGCCAGCTGTGGTGGCACACACGTGTAATCCCTGCACTCGGGAGGCCGAGGCAGGAGGGTCACCTTGAGTGTGAGGCAGGTCTGGGCTACGTAAGAGAGGGCAAGGCCAGCCTGGTCTACATAGTGAGACCCTGACTCAAAAATAAATAAGGGCCAGCCAAATAGCTCAGCAGATTAAAGTGCCTGCAAGCAGGGGCTGGGGGATCAATCCCCGGTTCTGCTGTGCCTGCCCTGCCCCCAGGGTGCACTGCAAAAGCAATTGAGACTGGGCGTGGTGATGTGTGTCTGTAATCCCAGCACTTGGGAGGCTGTAAACAGGTGGATCACTATGAGTTTGATCTAGTAGTGAGACCCTCAACACCCTGTAGACCCTTCCCTAAAATACAGAAAATCAATCAGTCAACCAACCCAGGGTCAGTACTGGGATATGGGGGGTAGACACAGACCTCTCCAAGTGGAGTGCTGTACCTGCTGGCAGCTAAGGGAGAAGCCTGGGCATGGATCCCAGAGGCCCATGTCCAAGCAGAGCGATCAAATAAGGATCGGTTGGGCTCATGAGCCATGAAATACTGATTTTTGTAATGCAGCCCTGGGGACTGACTCCAGGGCGCTGTCCCCGGGCTCCAGCCCCAATCCTTCTGTTGCTTATTCTGAGAGAGGGTCTCACTGTGATGCCCAGCTGGCCTGCAGTGTGTGATCCTCCTGCCTCAGCCTGCTCCGATGACAGCTGTGTGCCGCGCACCGGCTGAGCTCATCTCTCGAAGCTGCTTGTTCTTGTTTTTTCTTTTACAGTGGTATAACAACAGGTGTTTGGTGTGTTTTTTTAAACTGTGGGATTTTGTAATATGACCTATTTGGTTTTCTTGAACAACATAGTAATCATTGTCTTTCTTTAA